AATTCACTTAAATAATAAACTATCATGTGACATTTCACACTGTGTTCTATGAAAAGGCAGATTGTTTCTTTCAAAAAAGGTTGACATGAAAAGATGAATTCATAGAATAAAGGCAAATACTTTCACACTTACAACACAGAAGGTGTTGGGCCAGTGGTGGGTCAGTATCAGTTTGGTCCACATGTGTCTGAAATACACGCACATTCATGTCTCAGTCCTGTTTGACTGTGATTGCATGATAATGACAACATCTATTTACAGCTCTATGTCAATTTAATAAAATAGCAGGTCACATCAGACTATCTACAGTTCATTTAAAACAAACACATCCATCATTTTGCTGTACTTACGGGGGTGAAATCACAAAGGCAGAAGACAGTGCTGCTGCCAGGCAGAGCAGAAGAGGTGGCCCGAGCTTCATGTCTGACCTAAAACATATAACAAATAACATAACACTTGTCAGCTGCTTTTTACCAGAACTCAGTAGTGAACATGAGAATAACCCAGACTTTATACAAACATCCCCCTTATACCACAGTGAAGCATCAGGGGAACACTTACTTCCCACTGTGTGTAGGAACATGTGTGTATCATCAAATAAGCCGATTTCTGCAGTGATGATTTTCAAAGAAATCACGTGCTGCGGGATAGTCAAAGTTTGACTTGTCTACTAAAAATGGGCCGCACGCGATGGATGTCACGAAGACAAAAACAGGTAGTGGCTTAAATGGGAGGAAGTGAGGAGGGGAAGAAGATTTCATGTGACCAATTCACTGGGCAACAAAAATAAATCAGCAATCTGTCCCCCACAAACACAATCAATCAACAAGATGCATGGAAACCTCGGGTCTGTGAGTGTTGACTGGGCCACTTTAAAAATAACCACCTCTCATGGAGGAGAAGTCTGCAGTGCTGCACTTTAATGACCTACACACACAACTGTTATTAACGCAGTGCGTGGGTCCCTCTGTCATGAGAGAATACAGTCTGTGGCAACACAAGTACACAAGTACTTACAAATACATATGTCTCTGCAGCACAGTTGACAGTAGAGATTAGAGACAAGGTTTCTGTGAATCAGTAGAAGCTGCGTGTTGGTGGTGCAGGTAAAGACAGCTTAAAGAACTGTCTGACACATGAAGATAACCTGAAGCTGATAAACAGGAGGACACAACGACACACTCAGTGGTCAGGCACAAGTAGTCAACGTTAGCTTAATCTAAAGCTACAGTACTTAACGTAAAGACTGGACGTGATATCGTTAAACATTAGCCCACAGAACTACCGCTGACTGACCCTGACCTCAGAACAAAGCTAGAGTTTAGACTGGACTCACCTTACTCTGAATATGCTGCTACACAGGTTGGTAGTGGTTTCACTTAGCTCAGCTAGTTAGCTCAGTTAGTTAGCTCAGTTAGAACAGTTAGAACAGTTAGTTTGTTCAGTTAGCTCAGTTAGCTCATTACTCAGGACTACACACACACACACACTGAATGTTTACGTCCCACAGCCGCTTCACTACCGGCCACTCTGCTCAGCCAATCAGGAGCACCGTACGCGTCACGTGGTAGACATGGCTGGTACGTTTGATTTACCGTCCGGGTCGCACCGGCTGCTCACGTACACACAGTCTGTGGTCTGAGGGCGGTGTTTTCACACAAGAGTTTCTAATGTAGCAGTGAGCGAACGCCCCTTTCTCAGCGAGCTTTAATTATGATTCCAGCACATGATCACAGAAAGAACTCCTGGAACAAAGTACAACTCCCATCTGACAGAAACAGATGTGTGGCAAACTGGGGCTCTGATGAATGATAATAACAACAATAATAACAGTAATAACAATACTACTAATACTACTAAATATACAGACAAAACAACAACAACAATAATAATAGGCTTAATTTATACAGCACAGTTTCAGATTGCCTTACAATAAACAAGACAAAAAATCGATATAAGGGCAAAAATAAATGAACACTTTAGATAAAAATAAAAAATAATTAAAAAAACATCCTCTGCTAGAATTACTCTTGCCGTACAGATAAAATAATTAAAATAAACAAATCAGATAAAATAGAGAAAAGCTTTCTGGAGGAAGTAGCCTATGATCTGAGGTTATCTATCAATATGAATAAAATTATTATTATTATTATTATTATTATCATAGTTATTATGATCATGATGATGATGATGATGATATTATTGTTGTTGTTTGCTTTCTTTTTGCTCTGTAGTTCAAGTTTACCATCATTTTAATACCTGCCAGCAACATAATGTTCTGAATTATCACTGGGCTTTGGTGACAGTGATGAATGTTCTAACATATGACCAACAGAGGGCTCTTTGCAACCACAGACAGACATCAGTCCTTTTAACAGTCAGATAAAAATCCCTCTAACATAATGCTTACTGCATCCTGTTAATACACTTTGTATTTGACATTGTTTGCAATTTGATGTTACTTATAGTTTGCTAGTGCAATTTTGTAAGTTTTGTAAGCAAGTTCAAAAATCCAGGCTGTTTGACCTAACCATAGAAAGGTCTGCCTCTGTGGGATTTGCCTTGATTATTATTTATGTTCTGTAAAAGGTGCTGCTCATCTGAATGAGACAGCAAAAAAGGCCATTAACTATAAACACAAGCCACCCTCCACCTCCCATACACATGTTCCATCCAGACTTAATGGACTGTGTGTATGATTGTGAGAGATTATTTTTCTATGTTGCCTTCTTGTCTTCTGCCTCTTTCTTTCATTCTTTTCAGTCTGCGCCACTCACACATCACACAGTGCTCACCAGTGTCTCGCCCTGACACTCTCAAATGTAACTCCATGTTTTCCCATCGTATGATTTCTCATCAGATGTAAAATGCTTTTCACAGCTCCTCCACTGTGTCAGGAATAGTCAGGCTGTAACCGTAGCTAGTCTTATAAATAGGCTCTGGCCAAAGATCAGCATGCGACACAGTGTCTCAAGACGCTTCTGAATGCAGATGGAGAAAGATCTTGGAGACGGTCTTCACTTCTGTCCAAAGTGCAGCTAGATCTGAATGTATAATTGAAACAGCTGTATGCTGCATCTGTGTTGGGTTGCTGAATTGTGTTGTGTTATGCGGAGAAGAGTTTATAACAGAAACACCTCATAGCATGAAGCAATACAGTTCAAAAGCACCACATAACACATCCTCCAGAACCACACAACAGAGTCTGAACTACTCAGTAACTATGTCATTTTGACATGGGAGAAATTCATTTAACCAGCACTGTTAAACTTGTATTTGAGAACGCACACTATATTTGAAACTAAAAATGCTGCTTCAAAATGTGTTGCCCTCCCTCCTATAGCATCCCCATGGTTGCATTCTGTGCATTGATCAGCTGTTATACTTTACTAACAATTTTTTTTAGCATCGGTTGTATGACAATATGTCAGAAAGCTGCCGTTTGTTTAAAAAGTTCATATGTTCTAGCAGCCCAGCGTCTTGAGGGATACTGGTTATATATAGGCAGCTCTCTCTCCTTTTAAGGCCTCAGTGAACAGTAGGTGGGGGTCTGCTGGAGACGGGTGGTGGTTTTGTTGGCCTGGTACTTGGTTTAGGCTGACTCCCTGTGGATTCAGGCTGTCATCCGAAGTCAGTGCAAAGGAAATCTCAAGGGGTAAGAAAAATTATTCCTTTTAACTCTGTTTTCCTTTTCTATCGCTTCAGTATCCTCTGCTTTTTCAAACCCAAGTGTGGCAGGGGGGGATCAGTGGAATGGAGGTACAGAGAGCAGATTAGGACATGACTACAGGATGTTGTATGGCCCCTAACCATAGCTGATAATAGTTAAAGTGTTAAAACATATGAGTTGTGAATTAAGAAGGATGTGCAGTTGGGGTAAAATAATTGATCAGTATTTTGAGGATAATGATCTTAATCATCTTGTCTGTGACACATGAGAAAGATAGCAGGTCTAAGTGTGTTTATAATAGTAACACTCTAATTGGTTAGAACGGACGCTGACAAGACAGTCAAATTTATTAGGGACACTTGGGACTGGTGCTTCATTGGACAAATTGCTGGTGCTTGGCTCTGGGACTTTTTTTGCATATTGACCTCATTTAAACTTGACATTGTACTTGTTCACTGACAAATGTTTCATCACAACATTTTCACATGAAATGAAACATTATTATTCATCTATATCACCTTTTCAATACAAGTAATCTGCATAGCAACTGTTCATGATTATCCTGCAGATGTTCATTGGTTTGCACAGTTATGGTTGAGAATTTTAGGTTGACGGTTACTGAGAGTGAAGCTCAGGTGTCATTTGCAGATATTTACAGTACTGGCCAGACTGTCAGAGGCAGAGGTCTGCTACTGAAAAGCAGGTGTGGGAAAGTTTGGGATAAAACATCACTTGTTCACAGTGACCACTTGCCTGATTGCAGATCAGTTTAATGTTTATTATTTTTGGAAGGACATCTTTATGTGTGTTGTGTGTTGTTTTGATCTTTCAGTGTTAAGCATTTTGTTCCTTTGTTGTTCAACTAATTTCCTAAAATTATTCATATGCTGCTGTTTTCAATGGAAACTATTATACGTGTGGAAGAGGATGAACATAAAAATATAAAAGCATAAACTCTTCCATTGCTCAACCTCATGATTCAACCAGGAATTTAACAATCATTGACGTTAGGGTTAGAGGTTAAAGGTCTGGGATTAGGGCATGATGGTGTCATCTATCTTCTTGACTGGCTGTTTGATTGACTGTTAGATGGGAGTTAAACATGGCTTTGGCAGTGGGCACAGTGACCCCGAAGCTTGGGTGAGTGTTTCAGAGATGTGGAGGTGACTTCAACACGTTGCAGCAGCTCCCAGGGTAAGGTTTGGGCTTCATGTTTCATGTGACCTTATTTCTAGTCTCTGAAGACTTGGGTGATGTAAGGCAATTATGTTCCACTGTGCGTGCATGATGTAAGGCAAACGTTTGCTCTTGCTTAGGTGTCTGTATGTTTATTTCAGACACCCAGTGATGAGAATCAGCACAAATTGTTTGGGAAGTAAATGCTGTGATAACCTGAAAGTAAAAGACATTTAAATTAACTTCACTAAATAAAGACTTAACCATTTAGTGTAAAGAAGAGGGCAGAGTGTAATTACACATACTTGTTATCAAATGCTTCAGTGGTGAAAAAAGAAAGATGACCTTGGTGGTATAGAATACAGGGGAAACTATGGTATGCTGTGTTACAAACGTTAGAGCTTTTATGATACATATGTACACAGTTTATCTAAAACTGTAAAAATGGATGTAATTTCTGAAATGGTGAGTGAGACTCTTCAAAGATATCCTTTTTTCAAAATTATTCAATGTTTTTATTTGGCAACTTTAAACAGCGGGGAGATGGCCGATTGTCTTTGATGACACATATAATGTAATAACTGTTCAGTGTTCACGTGCTTGTTTGTTTCACTTTCTTTCTTTCTCTTCATTTCTTTTTTTCTGTGGTAAAATCGGCTGCTTGTGCAGATTTTAAAAAAGGAAGCTACACAGCACTTTCACAGAGCTCACGCTAAATAACTTCTCTTTTAATTTGGGCTTGTTTGACTCGCTTGTCTTAAAAGTGGAAAATGACAATATTTGCAGCACAGTTTGATAAACAAGCCGTAACTGCTGCTGTTGAATTTAGAGCTGTCAATGTGAAGGACAGTCTCTGGTGCAGCTGTACTGTCAGTTCTTGTTGATACACGTCACTGGTCTAACAATAGCATACATCCATGTCTTTATGTGCAACATGTGTGTGTTCATGTGTATCTCTGTTGGTGGCGTCTTTAAATCAACAGTGTCACCTTGTCGTTGCTGCCAGTAAGACTCCTGTGTGTGTATATGTGTGTGTGTGTGTGTGTGTGTGTGTGTGTGTTTGTGTGTGTGGCAGCTTTCCTTGACTAAATTCCAGGAGGGCCTTTCTTTTTGTAGGGGACGAGGCAGCTCTTTATTGCCACCACACTGTTGCAAAACATGTCGCCAGTTGCCCCAGATGGTCCTCGACATAATTAACCATCCTTTTCCTTCTTTAAGTTTGACTCCATAATCTTGACAACTTTTGTGTTGTGTGTGTTGGTGTCACTGTTGCCTGCAAACAAGAGAATATACTGTACTTTGTTACCATATCAGTATTTGTGTGTATTTGTGTGTTTTGCTGGTCCAACAGGTCAGTGGGTAGAGCGTCATCATGTCAGTGTGGAGCAAACGTGGGAGCTACAACCATGAGTATCACCACAAACAGAGCAGCTATGTGGTTAAAGAATACAGCAGGTACAGGATAGACGCTGATTCTACTGCAGTTATAACTAAAGCATCAAGCTAATGCAGCACTTTAATAGTTCTAATATTATTACTAATTGTAGAATAGTAACAGTGGTAACCTTTGTCATCGCTAAACCTGCAAATCCAGCCATGTCAGAGTAACCATAACAAAAACAACCTTGCTTAAAAACCCAGCCAGGGTTGAGATGCTAACCCAATTAGACCCAAGATAACCCCTAA